GAGTGGCGCCCAAGGCTCACCCCGAAGGAGCGCAAGGCCCGGCGGGCGTGGGCACAGTGGTCGGCCGAGCGAGCCATCCACCGCCTAACCCGCGAGGTGGAGCAGCTCCGCAAGATGCAGTATATGGACCCCAACGTCGTCAGCTACAGCGTTGGGAGCAGCGAGCGGGAGCAATATGGACAGTGGGAGCATCCGCAGGACACGGCAGTAACGTGGGGGTCAGAACGGCAGTGGCAGCAGCGAGCAGAGCCGGAGGCGAAGCTCGAGTCCAATGCCATCAGCTACAACGACGAAGCTGTGTGGCGTGACGGGAAGGTCGAGCCCGACGTCATTAGCTACAGACCAGAGGACGGTGCATGCGAGAAGTCTTGGATGGCGGCAGTGGCAGCGACGAAGCACGAGCCCAATGTCATCAGCTACAACGACGGTGCATGCGAGAAGTCTTGGATGGGGGCAGTGGCGGAGCCGATGTTCGAGTCCAGCGCCATCAGCCACAACGACAAGGCTGTGTCGCATGACGGGAAGGTCAAGCCCGACGTCATCAGCTACAGACCCGAGGGCGGTGCATGCGAGAACCCCTGGATGGCGGCAGTGGCGGAAACGAAACACGAGCCCAACGCCATCAGCTACAACGACGGGTTTGCGTCGCGCGACGCCAAGGTCGAGCCCGACGTCATCAGCTACAGACCCGAGGGCGGTGCATGCGAGAAGTCTTGGATGGTGGCAGTGGCGGAGATGAAACACCAGCCCAATGCCATCAGCTACAACGACGGTGCATGCGAGAAGACTTGGACGGCGGCAGTGGCGGAGACGAAGCACGAGTCCAATGCCATCAGCTACAACGGCGAGGCTGTGTCGCGTGACGGGAAAGTCGAGCCCGCCGACATTAGCCACAGACCCGAGGACGGTGCATGCGAGAAGTCTTGGATGGCGGCAGTGGCGGAGACGAAGCACCAGTCCAATGCCATCAGCTACAACGACGGTGCATGCGAGAAGTCCTGGACGGTGGCAGTGGCGGGGCCGAATTTCGAGCCCAGCGCCGTCAGCTACAACGACGGGACTGTGTCGCGTGATGGGAAGGTCGTGCCCGACGTCATCAGCTACAGACCCGAGGACGGTGCATGCGAGAAGTCTTGGATGACGGCAGTAGTAGTGACGAAGCACGAGCCCAATGCCATCAGCTACAACGACAAAGCTGTGTCGCATGACGGGAAGGTCAAGCCCGACGTCATCAGCTACAGACCCGAGTACGGTGCATGCGAGAAGTCTTGGATGGTGGCAGTGGCAGAGACGAAGCACGAGCCCAACGCCATCAGCTTCAACGACGGGGATCGGACTCGCGGTGCGAAGGTCGAGCCCGACGTCGTCAGCTACAGAAAAAGAAAAATCACTGAGCCAGACGTGGAAGCGTTTCTCCTCGAGCGAGCTGCAGAACAGAAGGATTTTGAAGATAAATGCATCACAGGAGCCATGAGACGGAAATCCCAGCCTTTCGTGCGACGCGTTGCACACCTGGCGGCCGCATCACAAGGCAGTAATGGGAGATGGATTCACACACAGGTTGGAGCCGGTCGTACTCAACGTTACGAATGGAAATGGGAGTCTACAATTAGCAACACACCGACGAAGCAGGACGGCGGCAGTGAGGTTGGAGACCTTCTCTCAGCTCTCGGTGCAGCCATTTCCTCAGCGTCGACGCGTTGAGCCACTCCCTGCTGTCGAAGGCCTTCTGAGTGGAAGGTGGAACCGCACCGTGCGGTCGAGCGGAATATATCGCTACGCGATCAGGCAGAGACTCCAGAGAGACTCCTCCTCCTTCTCCTCCTCCTCCTCCTCCTTCTCCTCCTCCCTCCTCCCTCCTCGCTCCTCCACCTCTTCTCCTCCTCCTTCTCCTCCTCCTCCTTCTCCTCCTGCTTCTCCTCCTCCTCCTCTCTCTCCTTCTTTTCGTCCTCCTCCTCCCTCCTCCTGCTCCTCCTCCTCCCTCCTTCCCCTCCTCCTCCTCCTCCTCTCTCCTCCTTCCTCCTCCTCCTCCTCCTCCTCCCCTCCTCCTCCTCCTCCTCCTCCTCCCCCTCGTCGCCCCCCCCCCGCACTGACCCGCAGGGACTTGTACTCACAAGGTGGCGAGCCCCTCTTACGCGGCCCCTCGGAGCTCACCCCTTGGAGCTTCGGGGTATGGCCCCTGCTGGCCCTGGTGAAAAGCCAGGGCCGCTGCACAACCAAATCGCAGGGGATTTTGCCAGACGCGCGCAAGGCACCAGTGTAGGTGTGTTGACGTTGACCCCGTTATGCGGATGTCCTGTCCTGTCCTGTCCTGTCCTGTCCTGTCCTCCTCCTCCTCCTCCTTCTCCTCCTCCTCGGGTCGCCTACGGCCCCTGGGGAAGCCGTGCAATGCGAAGGGTCTGGTCATAAGGTCCGGCCCAGTCTGAAACGGGGGCCCCATTTGTGGAAATGAGGTCGCCCAAAATTCGGCGGCGAGCGAGGGGGGAAATGAGAAGGAGACGACCTTTTTTTTCAGAAGGCGGTGGGGATTCTCAGCAGCCTTCGCGCCTTCCGAGAAGTTTCTCCTGTCTCCGAGGAAGGATTTCCGAACCTTCTACGAAGGCCTTTTCGTTTTCACGTCCCCTTGCCCGCCGCCGATCAATCTGTGCCCCAGTCCGTGTAATTGCTGCGCGCTGGTACACATGTAACTGCTGCGGCGCCAAGGAGAGAGCCCCTGTTTTTTTTTAACAGGCTTCTCCATTCATCCGTGTAGCTGGTGCGAATCCTAAGTTGTCAGGGTGTGTCAGGCGAAACTATTGGCCTACCCTAGCAACGCGCCCGGTGGTGCGACAGGGAGGAGCTGTTGACAAGGAAGAGGGGGGGAGGCAGGAGGAGGCAAGGCGATGAAGATGACCCGGACGCAAGCGGGAGGCGAGAGGGGCACTGCGGACTGTTGGGGGGAGGCGGAGAAGGGAGGAGCGGGGGGGGGAGGGGGAGGGACTGATTAGGGAGGGGGCAGGAATTGCGAAGAGGGGCGGTGGACAGGGCGGAGGCGAGGGCGATGACTTGGGACCATGCCGACCAGGGTCTCGCCAACTCGGGGAAAGGGAGGCCGCGCTGGCGGGGCGGCGAGGGGGTCGCCTCTGCACGGTGTGTCCCTGGGCTTCCCCTTCCTCCCCCGTCCCTTTCTGCTCGATATGTCGGTCGATCGGTTCTGCTCGGTCTGGGTATGGATGTCGATGCGCATTCTGGTCGGGACCTTTTGCTTAGTGAATCGCGCCGCCGGTTCTGGCCCATCACACCACGCTTCGGCGCGACACGCCGCTATCCACTTCCTGGTCCCCGAGCGTGCACGTCCCGAGCCTGTCCGAGTCTGCCGCCCCGCGGAGCGGAGCGACGTATTACCCGCGTGCACGGCACAGGCATAACGTGTCGCTGGGGCCGCCGCCGCGACACGCTGAGCAAAGATTCCCGACCGCATGTTAGAGATAAGAGAGAGCACATAGCAGTCAGCAGCAGGAGCAGCCAGCAGCAGCGTCTCACGCTCCCCTCGGTTTATCTCGACTGTCTGGCACTGCCAGGCAGTAATATGCACAGCAGCTGCCCTCTTCCAGTCCGGGAAGTGAGAAGGAGGGAGGAATCAATCGGACGACATGTCATCGCGCCCCCCCGCCACCTTTCATCGCGCGATCCTTTCTCCGCTGACTGAGCAGATACAGGCCCCCTTGGGCGTGGAGCTTCCCGCCTCATGCGAAGTGCCCTCCATGGTGACTTGTGCCAGGGTCCAGCTCTCTCCGCGCTCGTGCGCCATCCTCCTCGGTGCATCGCCCCAGCCCAGGCGCGAAGCCCGCGACGGCGGGCAATGGAGGAGAGGTGCCCCCTCTCCGATCCGTCGTCGGGCCGACAGGCTCGGGGCGCGGCTTCTTTTGCTGCGTGCGGCAGGTCCACCCCGAACCTCGGGCTGCGGTGCCCGCTTCCAGGGACGGGCTGCGCAGAGCACGCATGCAGTGCCTCCGTCTGCCCGTGTCGTGCTGCGGTCGTGGACGTTTGGCTCCACGTGTCGCTCCGCCGGTTCTGGCCCAGCACGCTTCGGCGCGACGCGCTGTGCACCCCCCAGTCCCCAGGCGGCAGCGTCCCGAGCCTCTCCCAGCCGCCCAGCCCGCAGATCGGAGCGATTCGATGTTCCGCTTACAGGGGATGGCGTGTCGCTGGGGCCGCCGCGGCGACGCGCTAAGCAAACGTTCCCGACCGCATCCCCCAGGAAGCTCGCGCATGTGGACGAGGCGTTTGCGCTCACTGGCCAAACTCGCGGGCTACGCGTTTTGCCTAGCATCTCAATCGGAAGGCGTGAGGGTTTATCGCATTCTGTGAGACCACCCCCAACTTAGGATTTTTGCAGTGCTTCGTGTCGCTCGACGGCGCGTTTACAGAGCTGTGACTGCGCAGCGTCCCCTTGGCTCTGGCAGCTCGTATGCCCTCCATCGCCTGCTGCTGCTCTCGCGGTGTGCCTGGGTGTCTGCCGAGGTGTCTGGTGGTCGGTGTCCCGCGCTGTCCGGCGGTGTCCCGCTGGGGGGGGACGGCGCGAGAGCGCGAGCGAAGCCGAGATTATTGCATTGCGCGTAGCGAAAACCCATGTGATATGTCTCCGCCTGCACAGGTGGTGCCATTCCCCTCAGGTCCGGCCGACGCCAAGAAGTTGGTGACAGTCTGGTTCTCGTCGATTTCGGCCTCTGGAGGTCGTTTCCTGGCCCCAGGACCGTCAAAAAGCGACTCTTGATGGAAATCCTGCACCGGGGAAGCGGTCGATATCCCTCGGGGACGTCGTCACGAAAAAATGCAACGTCGGAGGAGGGGGTCCTCCTGGCCGCCTCCCCCCAGAGCCCACCGCGGGGGCGTCCCAAACTGGCACAAACCGCCCGAAGTTGCTCGAAAACCCGATGCCGCCCCTTGTGGCGGCAGCCAGGGCCGCTCGCGTGGTCGCCAGACTGGCGGCCTGTACTTTTTGGGTGCTGTCTCAGAGGGAGGCGGCGAAAGAACGGGTGCGAGCAATCCCGTGCAAGGACGTTCATGCATCGAGCGGTCATCTGGTGCATCAGGGTAGTCCTCAAGACAGCAAAAAAGTCGCTTGAAAACCCAGACCTCCATCCTCGACGAAGGCTGCACGAATTTTGCAGCCCGCTCTGTCTCGGCGCCGGATCTGCGGCCCCTAACATCCCCCTTTAAGCTCGATTCTCCAGCAGTCTCTGGGGTGTGTGCTTGGTCACTTACCCCCCCCTGGGCGTGGAGGGTTCCTCCGAAGGGCTTAGGCGACCGTCCTCCTCCTCCATTCCTTCTCCTTATAGATAACTCCTCCCTGTTGCACCCCGAGGCCAGTTTTTAAGGCGGGCCGGGCGTTCACAATGGCGGAATTTCTCGGTCCGGTCCCCGGTCCGGTCCCCGGTCCCCGGTCCCCGGTCCCCGGTCCCCGGTCCCCGGTCCCCGGTCCCCGGTCCCCGGTCCCCGGTCTCGCATATGGTGGCCAAGAATTGCCCGCTGGTCTTCGTCGTTGTGTTTCTTGTGAGGATTTCGTTGTTTCGTCGAAGTTGTTTTGGTGTCCAGCTCCTCTTCCTCTTCGTCCTCCTCTGGGGGGGGGGACATCGCATGCGAGAAGAGTGCGGAACAGGAGGAGGGAGGATGGGAGGTGGGGCAGACGGGTAGGAGCCGCAGGAGTACCACGACGAGGAGGAGGACCATGAGGAAGAGAAGGGGTGATGATGGGCACGAGGAGTTGGAGGAGGAAGGGCGCAAAAGGGGAGGAGGAAAAAGACGAAGGACTCCCGAGAGCCCTTGAGAAAACGATTGAGACAAAGAGGGACGCAGAGAAATAACTACAAATAGTAAGAGAGAGAGAGAGAGAGAGAGTACGAAACAAAGCAGAGCTCCCGCATGGCCCACGTGTCTCTGTCAGAGTTCCCAACAGAGCTCCCGCACGGCCCACGTGCCTCTGGCGTGGATCGTTGGCTCAGGGGTACCTCAGTCGAGCCTCTGGCCGCACAAATAGTTTTCAGTCGGTCAGTCGACGACGACGACGAGACAGCGGCCGGGCGCAGGGGTAACCCCTTGTGTCCGGGTCGGGGGTGGTAACCCATCCTCGGCCGAATCGGGGGCAGGGGTAACCCCATGTCTCCGGGCCGCCGGTGGTAACCCATCGGCGGCCGAATCGGGCGCAGGGGTACCCCTTGCGGTCCGGGCTGGGGGGTAACCATCCTCGGCCGATCGGGGGCAGCGGTGACCCCTTGTCCTCAGGGCCCGCCGGTGGTAACGCCATCGGCGGCCGAAGCCGGGCGCAAGGGGTAACCCCTTGCGTCCGGGCTGGGGTGGTAACCCATCCTCGGCAGCCGAATCGGGGGCAGGGGTAACCCCTTGTCTCCGGGCCGCCGTGGTAGGCCGAATTGGGCGGTGGTAACCCACGGCGGCCCGAATCGGAGGCAGGGGTAACCGAACCATCGGCGTCCGAATCGGTTAGCCCCTTGCGTCCGGGCTGGGGGTGGTAACCCATCCTCGGCCGAATCGGGGGCAGGGGTAACCCCTTGTCTCCGGGCCGCCGGTGGTAACCCATCGGCGGCCGAATCGGGCGCAGGGGTAACCCCTTGCGTCCGGGCTGGGGGTGGTAACCCATCCTCGGCCGAATCGGAGGGCAGGGGTAACCCCTTGTCCTCCGGGCCGCCGGTGGTAACCCATCGGCGGCCGAATTGGGCGCAGGGGTAACCCCTTGCGTCCGGGCTGGGGGTGGTAACCCATCCTCGGCCGAATCGGGGGCAGGGGTAACCCCTTGTCTCCGGGCCGCCGGTGGTAACCCATCGGCGGCCGAATCGGGCGCAGGGGTAGCCCCTTGCGTCCGGGCCGGGGGTGGTAACCCATCTTCGGCCGAGTCGGGGGCAGGGGTAACCCCTTGTCTCCGGGCTTGCGGCGGTAACCCATCGTCAGCCGAATCGGGCGCAGGGGGGAACCCTTGCATCTGGGCCCGGGGTGGTAACCCATCCTCGGCCGAATCGGGGGCAGGGGTAACCCCTTGTCTCCGGGCCGCCGGTGGTAACCCATCGGCGGCCGAATCGGGCGCAGGGGTAACCCCTTGCGTCCAGGCTGGGGGTGGTAACCCATCCTCG